AGTTGCTAAAAAAATTAGCTTGTACAGTAACTATCCTAATTGAACCATTGGGAAATGGCTCTATAAAAATTTCAAAATAGTTGTTACTATTATGTATTTTTTCTTTAACATTTCTACAACATTTATTCTTTCCTCTATTAAAAATAGGGACATGTAGGGTAGGAATTGCCTAGAGTATACATATTACTATCATTTCACATTAATTTACCTTTACTTGTGTACATAGCCACTTATGCTTGTAAATGCTTGAAGAGTGTGCAAATTATCTAGGTACCTTAAGGCTATTGAATTTTTTTACAGAAATTATTTTAGGGAAAAAAACTTAAGGAACAACAGAATTTCTGAATTTTTTCCTGATACATGTAAGATTCAAGTTTGTATGGAAAAATACTCAATAAAGTTTGTTTATTATTATTATTATTATTATTATTATTATTATTATTTTTATTATTATTTAAAAAAGCTATCATTATTATTATTATTAATTAGCATACATTTGTTAAGAATAATCATTGGAAGTACAAAATAGTAAATTTATTTAATAAATTAATTAATAATCATAGACATTTAAATGTGTTTTTCTTCAGTAATGGGGCATGTGGTATCTTGTGGTTTGGAACTGATTGCATCTGGCAAAGGGATTCATGTTGATCAAGAACTTAGGAATAACATGCAGGTACTGGAGTCTTTAGCTGCTAAGAGTGACATCACAAACCGAGAAAAGCTCCATGTCAAGGCTGTGAAAGAGTGGGCAGAGGGGTAAGAGTTAACTTAATTATAATATTTAGTTATAATACACAATCATGTTAATTTGCTAATTACACCCCCTGTATTATCATCCATCAGCACAAATTCTTGAGAGGTTTTTTTTCCTAAGAGACTAGAGAATATTGAATTGGTTTTCCATACACATTTATTCCTCATTTACGTTCTTCTAAAGTTTACACCTAACCTGGATTTATATTGTTTATTTTATTTTATTTTATTTATTTATTTATTTATTT